CAGGATCAGCCTGTCGTAGTCGCTGTCCTTCGGTACCCTGAAAGCTCCGCAGGCTTCATCCCAGGCGAGGTCCGAAGCAGGAGTCAGGTACAGGGCGCCGCAGGCATCCCACTTCTGGAGCAGGGCCCACAGCTCGGCGCGGTCCATATGGACACGCGCCCCCTTTTGGCCAGCAGGCCACTCTGACGCCGGGAGCCGCATCTCCTCTGGATTGATGAACGCTTCGCGGACTCGAGCGTCAGAGAGAAATGGAATGGGATCAAACACTGGCGAATAATCCCACTTAATGCGAGACGCCCTGACTTTTAAATCGAAGGGCTCGACCTGGGTGGAGTCCCAAGCCGCCGCAGACGCCAGCGAACCAGGCACGGAAGGAGCGCTGGTCGGGCAGTGCCGCATGGGGGCGGGCACGGAAGAAGAGGAGGTGAAGGAGGCCTCCAAAGCTGCAACATGGGTGGCCAGGCCATGGAGCGAGACCTCAGTAGAGTCGAACTTGGCGAAGGCTCGACCTAAGTCGCTCTTGCCACCACGGGCGAGGCGAACTGCGATCCGACACAACCGTTCGATACGGGTGCGGACGCCCTCCTGGCAGGGCGAGACCGCGGCACGGACGCGAGCCTCGGCGGGAGCGAGGCTAGGATGACCCAAAGTGAGCCAGTTCAACGCAATAACAGAATACTGCGCGAGCGTCCGCGCCGCGCGCCGCAATCTCCAGCGCTCCCTGCGCCTCGCCGACAAGCCGTCAGGCGGGGGACCAAGAGGTGGAGCAGGCGGGCACGGCCAAGGATCGCGGGGAGGCGGCCCCAAAAGGTACGGGTCGTCCCGGTCCATTGCACGCATAGATGAGCGGGAGAAAGATCCAAGAGAACATCGAGCACCCATCCCAACCTGGGACAGCGCTGCCGCCCAGTGGGTGATATCAATGTTCGCACCTGGAAACAGGCGCAGCAAGGCAGACAAGTCAGCGACAAATGGCGCGACGTTGGCAAGAGCAGCAGGGGTGCTTGAAGGAGAACAAGCACCAGCAAGAACACCAACCTCAGGGGCTGCAGGCCCCATGGGGGGAGCGCTCGACTGAGGCAGGTGACGGCCAAAATGGCCGAATGGATCCGAGGGGCGGTTCGGAGCAGAGCGAGGGGCGTGGTGGCGGAACGTACTCCTCCCTGCGGGGCCGCAACAGCATCGCTGGAGGAGCGCATTCCTACCCTCACGCCCTCGCTGCGCCCAAACACGCCTAGCAGCCATAGCAGCGTCGGTGCAGACTGTCTGCGGCGGCGTACCTCGGCCACGCGAAGGCCCCCCCTCCAAGAAGGCGGGCGCCAAGGGCATCTTCAGTCCTTCTTGGGCACCGCCTTCGGGGCCTTGGGAGCACCCTGAGATTTGAAGGGGGGCTTTGAGACCTTGGGCTGCTTGGGCTGGTGAGGTGGATGCTTGGGGAGCGCGACGGCGCGCTCGGCGTCGAGGCGCGCCCGAAATGCTTGCAGCTCCTTCATGTATTCGCCCTGCGCCGACAGCCAGCGAGGATCCACTAAGGGTGAAAACAGGGTCTGGGCCTCGCGCTCCGTGTGACGACTGGTCACGCGACACGGGGGAGGCTCCAGCCCCGTGAGGAACCAAGCGGCCTCGAGGTAGCCGCGGTCCCCCGCCAACTGGTCGATGAACATGCACTGGCAAGTCAGCAAGGTCTGGACCCTCTCGGGGTTGCCCTCCTCGCAGGCCCGCCACAGCTCGGCGCTGAGGAAGGCAAAATGCGTCAACAACTCGTGCGTCGACGGCTGAGCCCCGAGGGGGCTGTGCTCGCGAAAGTACTGATGCATGGCCATGGGGGTCACGGCGCTGACTTCCACGCCCAGAACGCGGGCCAAATTCTCCTTCATCAGTCCTCGCACGTCGGGGCCGTGCTGCATCAGCGCTTGCTGCCACTCGCGCCTCCGAGCGATTCCCCCCATCTGAGCCGATGCGTGCGCGGGGTCGCCCGAGGTCGCGGGCGGAGTTTGAGCTTGGTCGCTCAGGGTCCCCAGAAGCGGGTGGAAGGCTGGGCGATGGCCCCGCCCCTGCTGCAAGGAAAGGGACTGGTGCAGGCACTGAAGCATGAGGCTGAAGTCCGTCGGATTGGCCGCAAGGGGCGGCTCTAACCCGTCGGCGCCGCCCGCCTCGGCAAAGCCGTCGACCGCAGCGGGATAGGCTAGCCCAGGCGGCGGCGGGGGGCCCATCGGTCCGAAAGCGGACGAAGGGGCCCGAGGGACAGCAGAAGAGCGCGCCTTCTCCCACGCCGAGACCAGCGCGGAGGTGGGTCCCTTGGGGCGCGCGGAGACCCGATGAGGGGCCACGGGTGCGTGGGACAAGACGGCCTCGATCCCCGCAGGATCCAGCCCGAGGCGCGCCGCCTCGTCGCTGAAAAGCTGAGGCACCTCGGGCCGAGCGCTCTGGGCAGCCGGAGCGGGGCCCAGCGGTTCGGGTCCGCCGACCATCGTGGAGGCCGCGTGGGCTGCAAGCAAGGCGCGCATTTCGGCAGCTACCTCGGCGCGGGTCATGGGAGCCCCGTCGTCCAGAGACGCCGCAGGAGCGCCAGGAGCAATCGGAGCAGGACCCGCGACCCGTGGCGGCGCGGCGGCGCCAGCGCGCTTGGCGGGCGGGCCGCGCGGCGCTCCAGCGACCGCGGGGGCTCGCGCACTTGGGGCCGCGCGGTCGGCTTCCCCGTCGGCCGCGAACCCCTCGGGCTCCTCCATCTCGTCGGCAGAGTGGTAGGGGGTAGCCCGATCGGCCCCTGGGAGAGGCTCTTCCCCTGCGGTAGGCGGGGCGCCGTGCAAACGAGCGTAGCCCTCGCGAAGCACCCGAACCCCCGAAGGATGCGGCCAATAGACGCGGCTGCGCACCTCGGCGAAGGGAACGATGCCTGCGTCGTCGCCGACCTCTAGAGGGTACAGCGACTCGAGCTCGAGCTCGGCAACCTCGATATCTATAACGAGGACGGATGCGGTAGTGGCGAGCGGCCGTGAAGCGGCCCCCTGGAGCTGGACGTCCACTAGCTGGAAGGGGCCTATCATCCCAGCAAAGCCATCCGCCTCGGCAGCCTCGAGCTCCGCTGTAGAGCGAAAGGCACCAGGCAGGGCCAGCAGGATGCCCCCTTCTCGAGAGGCGAGGGGGATAGCCGCCCAGCTGGTGTCGCCGTCGTCTAGGCGCCATCGTGCGTAGTCGCGCGCCGTGGGCGCAGCGAAAGGGTAGAGCTCGGGCCAAAGGGGCCCTCCGCCAACTGGTGGCAGCTCCGCCATCAGTGGGCGCCGCCGTGGACGCCGCCGCCCGCACGCTGGGCGTCTGCCCGCTCGAGCGCTTGAGGTCGAGGCGGAGCCCCGTAGGCCAGCGCTCGCGCCGCACGGCGGTCCTGCTCAGGTGAAGCAGAAACCGCGCCGCGCGGCCAGGCGAAGGGCCAGAGCCTCCGCCACACGTACGGGCCCAGCAGCCCGAGGCAGCAGCCCGCGCAGGCGCTGCAGGCGGCCGTCACCCAGAGGAGGGCGGCGACCGTGCTGAGCAGCCAGGGAGAGACCCCGCCGCTCAGGTCCACCGCCAGCCCGAGGCAGACGGTGGGGCAGGTGGAACCCGCCGAAGGGAGAGGGCAGGAGGCCCCCTCGCCCTCGGACGAGTCCGCCTGCAGGATGGACCAGGCAGGAGCTGGAGGCCCCTGGTCCTGAAGCACAGAGAGGGGGGCAGCCACGAGCCGCTCGTAGAGCGCGGCCCGCAGCCCCCTGAACAAAATCTCCCCAGCGCCCTGGAGAGCCGCTTGTGCGACCGCCTGCATAAGGCGCCCGCACGCGCGGCCGACGGGGGGCACTTGGGCAGAGAAGCTGCGGAGACAGCAGGAGCTTGCTCACAGAGAATAGAAGAGGCATGATGATGATGATGATGATGATGATGATGATGATGATGGTGATGGTGATGGTGATGATGATGGTGATGCTGATGGTGGTGGTAATGGCGGCGAAGATGATGATTATGGTGACCGCGAAAGCAATTATGATGGAGATGATAATAATGATGAAGACGCTGCTGATGCTGTTGGTGATCATGGCAATGCCAATGGCATGTATAATGACAGAAGCGACGATGCTGATAGTGGTGATGATTATTATGAGGATGACGCTGCTGCTGCTGCTGCTGATGATGATGATGATGATGATGATGATGATGATGACAATCATCACCACTGGAGGAGGAACAGAGGGAGAGGCGACGCGTGGCGCTGCGGATTCAAAACCAGGACCTATGTAACACCCAGCATCACAGAAATGTTGGGAATGGCGAGTCCACATGAAGCTGTGTTTGGCAACGGACATACCGGCGCCCATGCCGAATCAACCTCCCAGGAGATGCAACCCAGCCCACGTGAGCCCCGTAAGCGATACGAATCAGGGCATCTGTTGTATCACCCTCTGCCTGTGTACGTCGACACATTCAGGCTGGACTGTTTCTTTTTGTTGTTTTTGCCCACGCGTCCGTCAAGGATGCAAGGCTACAGACAGACAGACGGGGGGTCCTGAGCTGGACGGGTCCCGAGTCGGGTCCTCAGCTGGGGATGGGTCCAACGACACTGGGCACCTGCCTCGGCGGCGACGACAGGGGCGGATAGCCCAGGGGCGGGCACTACACGCCTTCGCCCGGGAGCCTGTCCCAAGACATAGATCATCGCGACGCACCTGAGTGCATGTAGTGCTCCCCCCTGGGCTGTTCTCCCCTACTGTCGCCTCCGAGGACCCGCACCCGTGGGCCCCTCCCAGCGCCACTCCCTCGGGCGTCTGGCCACGGGGCTCACCCCGGGACGGCCCGCCACCGTGCTGCGGGGGGCTGGGCATCGCTCGGACGTACATTCCCTGCGCTTTTTTCGGCTTCGCGCGTGGCTTTCTCGCCAAATGATCAATGATGCTCCTCGATGGTCCTCGCCGAGAAAAAAATGCACACGTCCGAGCGATGCCAAGGGGGAGGGGGGGCGGCGGGGGGGGGCGCGCCGCTCCGCGACGGCGGCGCCCGCGCTGGCGGAGGCCGCCTGGGAGGCGCGCAGCTCGGCCGCGTCGGCCCTGAGCTTGGTCTCCTGGCGAGGGGCATCCGGAAGACACTCCTCCTCCTCCTCCTCCTCCTCCTCCTCCTCCTCCTGCTCCTGCTCCTGCTCCTCCTCCTCCTCCTCCTCCTCCTCCTCCTCCTGCTCCTCCTCCTCCTCTTCCTCCTCCTCCTCCTCCTCCTCCTCCTCTCCCTCCTCCTACAGAGCCCGCTTTGAACGGGCAACTCCTGGTTCTGTGGCAACTCATGGGAGCCTCCCGTGCCGCCGTGCTGGCTCTTGCGAGTCGACGCTGACCGACGCTAAATCGGCGTCACTTCGACGCTGCCTCATCGAGTACCAAGCGCTAGCGCACGCTAACGCACTCTAGAGACAGAATTACGAGGGCATACACGGCATACATGATGTGCCAACAAGCGACGAGGCAACTTCTGCGAAGTCTTCGTGGGGACATGGCAGGCCAGCAATCCCGATCAGGGGGCAGTCCAGTCCGTTCGAATAGCATCAGGCCCAGTGAGGCGAAGTACGAGGTCAGCATGTATGAGAACGTACCCAGCGACTGGGAAACCGATCTTCCAGGACCCCAGGGGGCGGTGGATATGTACAGAGTTGGGCCCCAGGGAGGCCTAGCCTAGCATATCCATATCCACCGACTCCCGAGGTCCAGGGAGATAAGTTTCCCAGGCGGCGGATATGTACGAGTCCCACCCGCGGATGGAAAGCAACCTACTTTTGAAAGTGGGGTACAGAACGCGTGGGCCTGACTGAGGTACGCTCTCAGGCTCTGCCCTGATCGGTCTTCCGGGAGTTCTGCCGATGCGAGAGTGAGCATACCATGACATGCATTGAAGAAGCGTGTTCCGAGTGTCGCTCTGTATAGCTGGCGTGCTTTCCAATGTTTCGCGCCTCCGCCTACTAGACAGGCTAGCCCTGGTTGCCACCAACGCACGTTGCTGCCACTGGCCCCTGCTGACCCCACGCCTAGCCTCGGCGGCATCCACGCCCACTGCCACTGCCAAACCCACCAGTATCACGAATTCCAGAAGGGACCGTTGATTCCAACGTTGATGACACGATCAGCCCCAAATAAGACCATTACTGGTCCCACTAGTACTAGTAGCCCATTGAGGAACCTTCGCTGGTTGCTGACACCAATCCGTCCCAGCCCCTGTCCGCCTCAGCCCAGCCCCACTGGCCATGGGCAAGGCAAGACCACAAGGTAGGAACCTTTTCTTAGGGTGGAAAACTCAGGGTGAAATCCACATGGGCGATTGCACCCCAACAATCAATCCGTCTTCTGATTCACCTGTTGCATATTCAGACCTCGAACAACCATCGACACGGAATTTCAGACTTCGCCCCTCGCCCTCCACCCGAAAGAACAGAGGGGACGCACGAGGGCGAAGCGTCAGCTCGCTGCTGGCAGACGATGGCGGCAGGACGGCGCCCTCAGCCGAGGGAGGCTCCGAGCATGGCCAGCAGCAGGGGCTTCCGGGGGAAGGGAAGCGGGCGGCCTGCACGACTGGCGCTGGTTAACCGTGGGCGACGACGCGCACCGATGCCCCCCCGCGCGGGCGGGGGGCGCGGGCTCGGGGAGAGCGAGGGGGAAGGGGGGGGCAGAACAGGGGGAGGAGGGGGGGAGAGGGAGGGGAAAGAGTGGGAGTGGAAATATGGCGTGAATTAATGGGGTGCGATCACCGAGCGCGGGCGATGATAGTACCCCATGGGTAATAAAGTTCGGGGTTCTGGCGGGGAGAATAAAAGATGCTCCCGGGGATGAGGAGAATTATGATGATGATGATGATGATGATGATGATGATGATGCTGATGATGATGATGACGATAACGATGACGATGGTGATGGTGATGGTGATGATGATGATGATGCTGATGGTGATGCTGATGATGATGATGATGAGTATGATGATAATAATAATGGTGATGATGACGATGATGCTGACGATGATGATGATGATGATGCTGATGATGATGATGATGATGATGATGATGATGATGCTGATGATGGTGATGATGATGAAGATGACGCTGCTGCTGCTGCTGCTGCTGATGATGATGATGATGATGCTGCTGCTGCTGCTGATGATGATGATGATGATGATGATGATGATGATGAGGCTGACGATGATGATGATGGTGATCCTGGGCGAGAACTGGTGAGAATCCCACAGCCCTGCCATACGCTCGTGATTGCGGACGCTGGTGTGGTGAGACCAGCATGGCCCTGCTGAGCGTTTCTGATGCTCTTGCTAGTCAACATCATGAGATGATAGCAACTTCGGTTCGCAACTTCCCCCGTGGATTATAAAATTCGGCCTCCGCGCCTATCTCCACAATCGAATCATGTTGGACGGGGATGAAAAAATAGAGGGGGAAAGGGGGGGGGGTAGGCTTTATCATCGCCCGCGCTCGGTGATATAGGGAGGGGGCAAGGAAGATGCACCGTTCGTACCCCCTCTGGTCTCCAGGGGGGCCCCTAGGGGGCCCCTTTACGGCCCCGTCCGGGCACGAAAGTGCACCTTTCCTCACCCCCCACCCATCGCCCCTCCGTCCCTCGATGCCCGAGGAAGCAGTAAGGAAAAGACGCCGGAGCGCCAGACAGGAGTGGGCCGGGAAGCCGTCACGAGCAGCACCGGGCTCCGAACGGAGCATGGCAAGCGCCACCATGCAGACATCAGCAGGAGCTGGAGGCAGGAGGGGCGGCAGCGGCGCGCACGCGGATCGGACCCGCACGGTCGCGCGCGGCCCCTCCGGAGGAGGCGGCTTGGGGCCAGACGGTCGACCTGGACTGGACTGCTACCGGCCTACCACCCGAGCGTAGCAGGATGGCGACCTAAGAGCCGCCCCAGTCCTCGGGGATCTTCTTAGGGCGACGAGATCTATGCATATCCACTGCTCCTGGCCAGGCCCATCCTGGGCCCAGGAGCGGTGTATATGCCTCCCTGGCCAAGCCAGGAGGGCGTATACACAGCTCTTGGGCCCAGGATTGGCCTGGCCGGGAGCAGTGGATATGTATAGATATCGTCGCCCGACTGACCCGGGTCAATCCAGACCCGGGTCAGCAGGAAACCAAAAACTGCAATGCAGGAAAACAGAAACTGCAACGCAGATCTTCGCAAACCCGGGTCAGCCAATATGCGCGGCCGCCTCGCGGCCACGAGCGGCTCGCTGACCCGGGTCAGCCAGAGGGGGTCTTCGCAAGATCCTGCAGGATCTGGCGCCCTGGCTGACCCCCGTCTGCATTGACCCCCGTCTCGAGGCTCCCGAACGCCCACGGCCCACAAAGGATACCCCAAGACGGCACGAGAGGGCTCCAAGACGGCCATCGTGGAAGGGGTCTGGTGCTCTTTGGCGGGAGCTCCGTGTGACTTGGCGGGGCCCTGTACGGCCCCGAGACAGCCACGACGCCGCGTGAAATTACCAAGACTCGGGCGGATGGTAACGGGGGGGTGACCCAAACGGGGGATGAAGAAGAAAAGGGCTCCAAAAAGGGAGCTCGAGGGCTACTTCTGGAGCCAGCAGGGGCCGAAGAGGAGCCCTGAAGGGCCTCTTTGGGGCCCTCTTCTTCGGGGGCGCGCAAACATGGATTAGCGATCCAGGAATTTGGCGCGCGGTCGCCAAATCCATGGATCGGGGACGGTGCCCTTCCCAAAATGCGGCCGATGCCGCCTCGTTCGGCGGCGGAAATCCGCGATTTCCCATGGAAACGGAACCCGTCGCTAATCCACGCCCTCTTGATCCATGTTTGCGATCGCCTGATTCCTTCACCCCCCGTTTTGGTCATCCAGCCACCCGCCCGAACAGCCCGACAGGGCCCCCAGGCCCGGTCCACGGTGCTGCGGTCAGGCTACCGGGCTCGGCGAGCCCGCCGGGCACTGCCCCCACCCATTAGAAGGTCCTGCTGGGTACAGAACTCGGCCTGACCTCAGTAACGATACATAAGGAACGGAATCCCTTTTTTCCAAGTAATTCTGGAAGTCCGAGAGAACACCAGGGGGGCTCGCCGCCAAAAAGGTAGCGAACGCATTCAAACCATAGGAACGACCGAGCCCCTTTTAAAAGCAAGTGTTCCTTATTCCAGCCCGACCCTGTATCCTGCGTTTCTTGGTAAGCGTGGGGGGGTACCCCCCCGACGGGGGTCAGCCTCGCCTCGTCGTCGCGCCGCGACGGGGCTCGGAGCGCCTTCGGCACGAGGTGGCTGCACCCGACGGGGGTCGACGCGGGGCTGTCGGCTCGGGGGGGACGCCCCCCCGACGCTCGCCGACGCTGATTGAGGAAACTCGGAGGCGGGGGAGGAGGGGGGGAGGGGAAGGAGGGGAAGGAGGGGAAGGAGGGGGATGGGGGAGGGGGAGGGGGAGGAGGAGGAGGAGGAGGAGGAGGAGGGGGGGAGGAGGGGGAGGAGGAGGAGGAGGAGGAGGAGGAGAGGAGGAGGAGGAGGAGGAGGAGGAGGAGGAGGAGGAGGAGGAGGAGGAGGGTCGTTTTGTTGGGCTCGCCGGGGGGGGGGGGGGCGGCGGCCCGGGCCGCTGGGAGGCTCGAGGGGCCCCACCTGGGAGCTGCGTCGGGAGGTCGTCGTGGGGCGCTCTCGCACAACCCGGGTAGGAGACAGCGCCAGGACGAGGACGACATCGGGCAGAGGACGATTGGCCAATCGCTGAGAGCCGGCGGCTCTGGAGGATGCCTCGGGCGACGCGGCCTTCTCAGAGCCAGATACTGCCCCTGGCCCTGGTCAACAAAAAATGGTTGGCTTCTCCCACGCATGCGTACGGGATTGGGTTCTGATGGTGGCTGACTAAAGAACTCGTTGGAACGAGCTACAGTCAACCCGCATAGTCAGAATGCGCGATAAGGATGGCAGGGCCTTGGACGCCAATTTCGAATCTTTCCGAACGGGTCGCGGCCAACGAAAGTGGCCAAGGCTGGACCGAGGAGGCAAGGATGCAAGGGTACCACTGGGAAGGTTGCTTATCCTTACGATGCGGGTTGACTGCAGTCTCGCAGGAAGGAGGGCGGCTTTGACGTGCAGGCCTCGACCTTCTTCCAGGCCTCTGCGAGGTCGCCCTCGAGACGCGCGATGGCCTCGCGGGGCTGTCCGAGCGAGGGGAAGTCTGCTTCTCGGCTCCCCAAGACTGCTCAGGAGGTGGACGAGGACGGCGACCCCTTCCTCCTCCTCCTCCTCCTCCTCCTCCTCCTCCTCCTCCTCCTCCTTCTCATCCTGATCCCACCTGATCCTGACCGCCACGCGCGCAAGAGCGGTCACATTGGAGACATTCGCCACAGTGCCTTGTCCGCGTTGGGGCGCATTAGGATGCTCCCCTGCTGAATGGTACGATGTCTTTCATGTTGTCTAGAGCAGACCCCTCCACTCCGAGCGCGCGCCCTCAGAACATCGCCAACCGATCTCAGACCCGATGACTGACACATTCCAACTCACAACTGCGATACATGTGTCCCAAAGAGGCTCTAGCCGACGGGGTCATACCAGCCATGAACCAAACAACACAGAAATACTAGATCATTCCCCCGCTCAGAAACAAGCAACCATCAGCAAAACACTCGCACGCACACACACATTCTCTCCCTCTCTTTCTCTCTCTCTCCCTCTCTCCCTCCCACACACACAACACAACACAAAGAGGCCCAAAGACAGCCGAACACCACCCCGTGATAGCCAAGCTCGCCTAGACTACCCAACAAGGCCCCCGGACGCTTGAAGAGCGCCCCAAGGTGGCTTCAAGCCAGCCGCAGAGACCCCCACCAAGATGGCACAGGAAGGCTCCCAGAGGACGTGCAAGAGGCCCTCCAAACAAAAAACAACTATTGCCCCGAACGAAAAAAAGAGGGCCTCGACAACAAAAAACACGTATTTCCCCTAGCGAAAAAAAACATGATTTCCCTGAGGGCCTGGACACGCGTCAACACGCTGGCCCGGCCTGGCTTCCGATGCCCAAGACTGCCCAACACGTCCCCACAGAAGACCCTGGGACAGCTCCAGACGGCAAGAGCTGCCTCCAATGCGGCCCGAGTGGGCCCCCAAGACGGCCCAAGATGCCCCGCAGACGGCACGAGAGGCCTCCCGAACGGACCTGAGAGGCTGCCGAGGAGGCCCTCGAGAGGCCCCGCAGAGGCTCCAACGCGCGTCCCGAATTCAACCTCCGTCGCGCCGCGCTGCTGCCCTGGCGCGGTGGCGGGGCGTGCCGCAGACGGTTGGATCCATGACCTCCGTGCCTTGAGGACCCTCAGAAATGCTTCCGATCGGTGCCTCCCTGCCCTCCTCCTCCTTCTCCTCCTCCTGTTCTTCGTCTTATTATTAGTTTCATGTTTCATCATATCATTTGTAGTGTTTGTATGTATCGTCCTCTTCTTACTCTTATTCCTCCTCTTGTTCTTCTTAGTAGTATTAGTATTGTTAGTATTAGTTTGTGTGCTTAGTAGTGTTCTTATTGTTATCATTCCTCGCCCTCTTCTTCTTCCTACTCCTCCTCCTCCTCCTCCTGCTGCTGCCGCTCCTCCTCGTCCTCCTCCTCCTCCTCCTCCTCCTCCCTCACCGCAGGGCCCATGTCCCCAGCGACGGCAGCGGCGTCTGGCCTGCCCCCTAACCACTGCACAGAGGCGCGAAGACGGCACCACTTCTCGATCTCCCGAGTGCCATGCAGGCGCCCACTGTAGAGTCGTCGGCCAGACGCGGTCGATGGAATCATCGCGGGGTGCAGACCTCTGCAAAGAACATGCGACTAACAATGAGAAGTCGTAGCCAACGTTGCGGCAAGGTAGAACATTACTGTGCCTCGCACTGGGCAGTGGGGAGCAATCGTGGTTGGGGTCTCCCTCGCCCCGCGGTAGCCTGCGACCTACTGCCAGGCCAAGACAAGGTGCGAGATTGGTTGCCGTCTCGGTGCGCAAAGCAATACCCCCAGACCTTCTGGCGTACGTGGTTTAGCGTTTCCTCTCCGAAACCCCTTTTTTCCCCTTTGGGGAGGGGTTACCACTGTCTCCACTGAGGTACATCCCCTCACTCACCCGACCGGCGACGAACCCGACCGAATGCCCAAAACCTCCCCACCGTCCCTTGCAAACACCTTACGAAAGGGCGCTCTGCAATTAGACTTGCATCACGCGTGGACGTCCCGCGATCACTTTGCTTTGGCGCTTGACAGGGGCGGCGGGGGGGGGGAGTTTCTTCTCTCCCTCTCAACCGACAATACAAATTCACTGTGCCAGGAACGGCGGGGGTTGCAGTACACTGCCTGCTGTGCAGGCCCATCATCCCTGCCAGAAACAAATACAAAACGATGGCGGGTGCACACCCACACACAACACACAATGCCCACAACCCCGCCGATACTGTTCATTGGTCTGCGACAGGGGTGGTATGGGGGGCCGACATATTGCTGAACATGTTGCATCTGGTGCGCGTGGCGCACCAGGCATGTGCGGCGCACCTCGCGGGCTTCGCGCCCCGGGCTGGCGTCCGCATTGATTCCCGATTGTTGTCGACGCCGACCCCTGCCTATGGCGTGATTCGGGTGCTACCTCTGCAGCGACAGGGCGTCAAGGAGTGAGCGAGACAGTTTGCGGCGTTATCGCTGGAGACGTGGCCCTTCCCCCTACCCCCTCGCTTGGGTCTGGGAAGGGGAACGGTGGGCCGGTGGAACGTCCATGACGGCCCAAGATGGCTCCAAGATGGCCCCATATAGCCCCAAAGTGCCCACTATATGGCACACGACACATCACATTGGTTCAAGATGTTTGGCACCATGCGCCACAAGCCTCTAAGACTAATGTAAGACGGGACCAAAACAGGTCCAAGTGGCCATGGAGCCTCTTCATAACCCCTCGTAGACTCCAAGCATTCTCCCACATCTAGAGGACATCAATGTTAAGCAACAGGGACACACACCTGAGAGGTATTTCTATTTACCCGGTGAAGTCCAGGTGGTGCAAAAATGTGGTGGTGATGTCTAGACGGTATAATCCACGCGACGCAATCGATGCAACGCAAAAAGGTGCAACACAATGTGGACCAGCTACGCGCAACACAACGCAACGCAATGCGACGATCTGCGAAACCATACGAAACGACGCATAACAACGCCAAGCAACGCAGAACAATGCAGAGCAACGCGAATCAGCGCAAAGCAGTGCAAAGCAATGGCACGCAACGCCAAGCAATGCAAACAGATGCAACGCACAGCGACGCAACGCCAAGCAACACGAAGCAATGCAAAACAATGTAAAGCAACGGGCAGGAATGCGAGGCGGAGAATCGCAAAGCAATGGGAAACGATGGTGAACGATGCGAAGCAATGCGAAACAACGCGAAGCAGCGCAACACAACGCAATGCAAGACAAAGCAACGCGGTTGTATTGCAATGCGATTCCAGTACAATGCCGAAGCGACGGCCAAAGACAAAGCGGCGACGGCGGCAACACGGCCGCCAGAGCGGCCCGCAGGCCCGAGCGGCGGGACACGACGGGCGGTGACGAGGCAGCGACGGCGGTCACATGGCGGCCAGAGCGGTCTGCAAGCCAAGACGACGGCGGCGACGTGAGGCGACTCGGCGACGGCGGCTTCATGGCGACCAGAGCGGCCCGCAGGCCCAATTCTCTTTTTGCCATAAAAAAGGAGCCCCAAAATGCAAGCATTGCATGGGGAATGGTTTGACCTTCCCGCCTTTTCGCTTCCGATGGGCTCTGAAACCTCAAGATGTATCCAAAATGGCCCAAGAGGAGGACCCACAGAGGGCCCAGAATAGCCCTCAGAAAGGACCCAAGAGAGCCCAATAGTGCTCCATGAGCGTCTCGAGAACGCTCCGAAAGGCGACTTGAGGGCTATCGAGGGGCGACGCTGTTACGTAGGGGCGCCCCCTGACCTCATCGATGCCCTCCTAGGTGGCCCAAAGAGGGCTCAGAAGTCCCCCAGGGGAGCCCCAAGAAGGCCTCCAAGGCTCCCACAATTGCCTCCACAGAGCCCAAATGACGGCCTCACCCGAAAATGGGAAAGATCGCGGTCTGTGGGCGCTCGGAAGGGGGGGGGGCGGAAAACCCCCCCGTCCATCCTCTCTCCCTCTCCTCGAGCCGGCGCCGGAGTCGGCGGCGGCTGGCGGCGGCGGCGGAGAGCGTCGATGAAGACGACGATTTCGTTTTCCGGGCCGGCGCCGGCGCCTGCGGCCGCTAGCGGCGGCTGCGGAGATCGTCGCCGAAGACGACGGCGACGACGATGACGTCGACGCTCCGCCACCGTGCCTTGGTTTTGGGTCAGAAGCCTGATGGATGCCTCCTGGGTTCTCGTCGGAAGGCTCCCGGGGGCCTCTGAAGGGCATTAGTGAAGCCTCCTGGCCTGGGCGCCTCGTGGGAGTCTCTTGAGGCCTCTCTGAGGTGGTGGTGGTAGCGGTCTGTGGTGGTGGTTGTGGTGGTGGTTGTGGTGGTGGTTGTGGTGGTGGTGGTGTCAGTGGTGGTGACGGTGTGGTGGTTGGTGGTGGTGGAGGTAATTGCTGTGGTTGTGGTGGCAGGCTGTGGTGGTGGTGGCGGTGGTGGTGCGTGGTGGTGGTGGTGTGGTTTCTAGTGGTGGTGGTCGTGGCAGTTGTGGTGGTGGTGGGTTGCGGTGGTGGCGGTGGTGGCGGAGGTGGTGTGGTGGTCTGTCGTGGTGGTTGTAGTGGTGGAAGTGATTCTTGTGGTGGTGGGTCGTGGTGGCGGCGGTGGTGGTGGCGGATGTGGTTGTACAGGTGCTGGCGGTGGTGGTGTGGTGGTTTGTTGTGGTGGGGGTGGTTGTGGTGGGAGGTGGTGGTGGTGGTGGCGCAGTGGTTTGTGGTGGTGGTGACTGTCGTGGTGGTGGTGGGTCGTGGTGGTGGTGGTAGCTGTGATGGTGGTGGCTGTGGCGTGGTGGTTTGTGGTCGTGGCGGTGGCGGTGCTGGCGGTGGTGGTGGGTTGTGGAGGTGATGCTGGTGGTGCTGGTGGGTATGGCAGCGGTGGTGGTGGGGAAGTTTGTGGTTGTGGTGGTGGTGGTGGTGGCGGTGGTAGGTTGTTATGGTGGTGAAGTGGTTGTGGTGGCGGTGGTGGTGGTCGTGTTGGTGTGGTGGTTTGCGGTGGTGGTGGTAGTGGTTGTGCTGGTTTGTGGTGGTGGTGGTGGGAGGCGCTGCGTGTGGTGGTGGCGGTGGTTGTGGCGGTCGTGGTGGTGGTGGTGGTGGTGGTGTGGTAGAATGTGATGGGGGTTGTGGTGGTAGTGGTGGTGGCTGTTGTGGTGGTGGTGGGTTGTTATGGTTGCGGTGGTGGTGGTGGCTGTGTTGGTGGTGGTTGTGTGGTAATGTGTGGTGGTGGTGGTGGTGGTGGGTTGAGGTGGTTTTGGTGGTGGTGGTGGGAGTGGTGGTGGTGGCGGTGGTGGTGGCGTGGTGGTTTGTCGTGGTGTGGGTGTTGTGGTGGTGGGCTGTGGTATTGGTGGTGGCGGTGGTGCTGGTGGTGGTGGTGCTGGTGGTGGTGCTGGTAGTAGGTGGTGGTGGTGGTGGTGGTGGTTGTGACGGTGGTGGTGTGGTGGTGTGTGCCCACAAGACGGCTGCAAGAGCTTGCCCTGACGCGGGGCCCGAATGGACATTTCGAGCCCTCGGCCGAGAGAGGCTCCCAGGAGGCCCCAAGAGGTTCCCAAGAGGGAGCCCAGAATTCCTCCCCAGATGACCCCGAGAGCCTTCCGAAGAGACCCCAAAGAGCATCCCTCTGGCCAGCATCAGTGTCGTCGTCGTCGTCGCCGCCACCGCCGCCGTTGTCGTTGTCGTCCCCCTTGAGGGTCGGCGGCACCGGCCGTAAGGGATGGGTGGAAAGCGTCTGACGTTAGCTATGGCGTGAACGCAGCTAGCTTGACAAGTACTGAGTATGAATCCTTCTCTCCTCTGTCCCATGAAGATGGCAGGACTGGCCCGCCGCACTCCGCGCATTGTTTCTTACGAGCAAGCCTTCAACCGCTTCCTTGTTCAATCGAGACGTCTTCGATGTCTCAAGAGTGGTACCTCCGCTGCAGGGCTGTGTGAATATTAGCATCGGCGCTTTGCTCTCATCGCTCAGACTGGTGCTCTCGCCGCAGCGCGGTTCACTCGCTCATCGTTGTCGCCGTGCACCTGTCCCTCTCCCCGCCTTTCTCTGGTCATCCTGCACCTCCCGCATCTCCTGCCCAGGCTCCTGCTGGTGATCCTCCTCGTCCTCCTCCTTTCTCCTCCTCCTCCTCTTCCTGCTTATCCTCCTGCCCACCCGCCATCTCCTTATCCTCATCCTCCTCCTCCAACGTACGCCTTACGCAACTCCCCTGTGAACTGTATGCGCGCGACATTATGGGGTCCGTTTGGGAGTTCCGCGTCCGCTATAATGATACCCGTCGGCGGCCTCCGACACGAAAATAGCGCAGTGGGAAGGGATGGGTGGGCTGGAGCAGGATGTCAGATACGGCACGAGCGTGCCTATCCTTGTATGAATACGACGCTCCTCTCTGCCCCGAGGACGTCCTGAGAGCCGAGCGCACACATCTGCGTATGGCTTTTTACGCACAAGCTGGGTCCGTAATTGGTCATCCCATGCGTCTCTAATATGTACGTTCTCAGCCCTTCCAAACTATTGCTCTCGCTGCAGCGTGGGCCGCATTTGGGGATCGGGGTCTTGTTCCCGTCGATCAGAATGGCGGTCTCGCCCCAGCGCAGCCGCTGTTCTGGATCCCAGTCATTCCTCATCGTTATCGCCCCCACCTGCGCCTTATCCATGATATTCCTGCTTCTCCCCTCCTTCCCCTCCAGATCCTGCTGCTGCTGCTCGTCGTCTTCCTTCTTCCTCATGTTCCTCCTGCTCAGCCTGCTCCTCCTCCCCCTCCTCCTCCTCCTCCTCCTCCTCCTCCTCCTCCTACGTACGCAGCTCCCCTTCTCCGATGGCGCATAACACAACTGGGCCTCTGTTGGATATCCTGGTCCGCTGTGACACGCGTCCGCGGATAGAGAAACGTCGGCGCAACGGGCAGGGACGGCCGGGAAGTGCATACTGCCAGATGTGGCGTGAGTGCACCCTGATTGTCGTTCCCTCACCCATGCGGGGCTCGGGTACTTTTCTAGATTTCAGCCCGGAGCCCTCCTCGGTCCTGGACCCCGGGGCCTTCCCCAGATTTCACCCCGAATCGTTTCTTGACGGCCCTGGGGCCCGTGGGATGGCCCAGCGAATTCGAAAGCCACAGGGGACCTCCACGAACCCGTGTTCCTCAGTCGAGGAAAGCAGACGTGTATAAGCAGAAACCTGCTGGAGGTCCGTGCGGATGTCTTGGATCGGCGCTGGATCCCCCCCCCCGCAGTGGCGACCAGCGCCGACCCGAGAGGTCCGCGCGGAGCTCTGCGAATGTGTATATATCAATGGAGATCCGACCTCCCCCCGTGCCCCCTCCCCAGGCCCGCGCCGCGAGGGTCGCCCCCCCCCCCCCCCTCCCCGAGCCCGCGCGGCGAGATCCGCCCCCCCCCCCCCCCCTCCCCGAGCCCGCGCCGCGAGAGCCGCCCTCCCCTCCCCTCCCCGAGCCCCCGCGCCGCGAGAGCCGCCCTCCCCCCCCTTCCGTCCCGGAAGCGCGCGAGGCTCGGGGCGGGGCGGGCCGCGGCGGCGAGGCCGCGGGCGGGCGCCTCCTGGTCGGCGCCCCCGCCCCCGCCCGCGCCGCTCTGCGCCTGGGCGGCGGCGGAGGAGGAGGAAGAGAGGAGGAGGAGGAGGAGGAGGAGGAGGAGGAGGAGGAGGAGGAGGAGGAGGAGAAGGAGGAGGAGGAGGTGGAGGAGGGAGGAGGAGGAGGAGGAGGAGGAGGAGGGAGGAGGGAGGAGGAGGGAGGAGGGAGGGAGGGAGGAGGGAGGAGAGAGGAGGAGGGAGGAGGGAGGGGAGGAGGAGGGAGGAGGAGGGAGGAGGGAGGAGGAAGGAGGGAGGAGGGAGGAGGGAGGAGGGAGGAGGGAGGAGGAGGGAGGGAGGGAGGAGGGAGGAGGGAGGAGGGAGGAGGAAGGAGGGAGGAGGGAGGAGGAGGAGGGAGGAGGAGGAGGAGGGAGGAGGAGGAGAAGGAGAAGGAGGAGGAGGAGGAGGAGGAGGAGGAGGAGGAGGAGGAGGAGGAGCCCCCCGAGCCGGGAGAGAGGGGAGCGGGCCGAGGCCAGGGCGAGGGCCCGGGCGGGGGGCGGCCCAGGGGGCGAGGCGAGGGGCAGGTCAGAGGAGCGACGAGCATGGCGATGACCGCCCTCGCCGACCCCAGCCGGGGGCGCCTCGGGCTCCTGATCATCGGGAGCGGCCAAGAGAGCTTCCTTGAGCCACTCGCTCCACGCGTGCGTCGAAGCTGCACCGAACGTCCGTCGATCCGAGTCGGCCCTTGTTCGAACCTGCATCGAACCTGAATCGGACCCGAGCCGAACCCGAGTCGAACTCGCGCCGAGCTGGGGCCGAGCAGGTCCGTTGGGTGGGCCCCAGGACAATCGGGAGCAACCAAGAGGGGGGCGTCCAAGAGGCGGGGGTGCAAATCATGACCGGCGGCATGCGCGCGGCCCAGCGGGGGGGCCAGGGGCGTCATGAAACAAGAAGAGGCGCCATGAAATCTGGGGAAATCCGCCGACCCCTTGTGGGTCTCTAGGCGTGTGAGATAGTTCCCCCCCCTATAGTCCCCCCCCCGGGACCCCAAACCGGCGATTTGACCCCCCCCCCCCGGGCCCGGGACGAGCGCCTCCCCCGGGCCCGGGACGAGCGCCCCCCCCGGGCCCGGGACGAGCGCCCCCCCCGGGCCCGGGACGAGCGCCCCCCCCAGGCCCGGGACGAGCGCCGCCGGGGCTTTTCCGGGCCCCAGGAAGCCTCAAGACGGGCCAAAATGGCCCCAAGAGGCCTTCAAGACGGCCCACGGGAGCCCCGAGACGCCAAACGAGCGCCCCCAGACGCCCAAGATGGCCCAAAGACGGGCTAAGAGGCCTCCAAGACGGCCCAAGAGGTCCCCAAGAGGCCCCAAGAGGCCTCCAAGATGCGTCCCACGAGGGTCCCTAGACGCAAAAATTGGCCCATTCCCTTCGTAAAACGTACATTTTTCACGAATTCGCTTTTTGGGCTTTCCGACGCTCCCAGACGGCCCAAGAGGCCCTAAATACCGCCCCAAGACGGTCCAAGCAGCCTCCAGGGAAGCTCCAAGGCAGCCCAAGAGAGCCCCAAGACAGCCCAAGAGGCGCCCAAGATTGCCCAAGAGGGCCCCGAAGACGGCCCCAAGAGCGCTCCAGGAGCGCTTCAAGTGGCCTCCAAGAGAGCTCAATATGGTCACAGACGGTCGAAGAGCGATCAAAGACACCGACGATCGCCTCCAGACGGCCCAAGACGGCCCCAAGAGGCCCCAAGAGGCCTCCAAGATGCGTCCCAGGAGGGCCCCAAGAGGCCGCCAGAGGCCCCCAAGAGGCCGCCAAGACGCCCCAAGGAGCCCCCAAGAGCCCCCCAGGAGGCCTCCAAAAGACCCCCAGACGCTTCCGCATTGCGAGCCGTCAAGCCAACTGCAATGCACTCCGCGCATGCAGCCTTGCTCTTCCTCGCGACGTGCTCACAATCTTGCTCGGCGCGAATGTGCTGCTGCTACGCGAACTGTTTCGTGCGCGCTGCGAACGTCAACAGCCTCTTCACCCGTTTCGACTCATCTGCCACATCTTTCGCGGTGATGCTTCGCTGATCACAGCAAACATTTGGACCCCCTACGTATCTGCCACCACCCGCGCGCGACACCGCACCCTCACACAAGACGCCGCTGGCCAGAAACTCCTGGTCTCGCAACAGTCACAGAAGGGGTCGGCGGATGTGGCGTAAGCCTGTAGAATCTCATGGCCCCCACCATGATATCCCCTGGTCATCACCCCCCTTTTTGCCGCCCCCGAGATCAGCAACTGACGGAGTCAAATTGGCAAATGGGTTGGACCACGGGGCAGGGCGGGGACACGGAATCTTTAGGGCGCAAACAAACCTACCTCGCTTTTGACCACCCTCGCTTCCAAAAGATACCAAGCGACGCCAAACTACGGCCTGTGCTGGTCAGGCCGCTTGACTATAGGAGGCGCGTGGCACGACTTGGCTTTGCCAGGAAGCGAAAGCGGGGTAGGCAATTCACGCTCTGAATCTTGCAAGTCCAGGGAGGACACTGGCGTCAGCCCAGGTGCACGCTAGCTGCTCACGGCTCTGGCGCGTGGTCCACTCAGCACATCAATTCGGCGCCGTCGCCCGGGGAAAGCGAGGCGCGGAGCAGGGCGGGTCCACGGGCTCGACCCCCCTCTCGGCGAGGAGCCTCTCGCGGGCCTGGCCGAAACCCATCTCCTGGCAACACTCGGGAGCGGCCAAGAAGAGGGGGGTGTCCAAGAGGGGGGGGGTGCAAATCATGACCGGCGGCATGTGCGCGGCCCAGCGGGGGGTGCCAGGGACGCAATCAAATAAGAAGAGGCGCCGCGAAATCTGGGGAGATGTCATGGCCCACGCCATGGTATCCCCCTCCCCCTAGTCATCACCCCCATATTTGCCGCCCCCGAAACACATGCGGGCCCGCGAAACGGCCTATGCCGGGCTGCCAACCACATCCTTAGGCTCCTGGTGTCCCAGGCTATGCTGACCCGGGCGAGACAGGGGACGCATGGCCAAGGCCGCCGCTGGCCTTTTTCTCGCATGTGTAATTCTGGAGGCCCCTCGTGCCAAGCTCCAACCTCGGGCAATTCCATGAGGCACCTTGAACCCGAACAGGTTTGGTTGACGTGCCGTCTCCACGTGGCAAGGCACCTGAAGCGATTTGGGCAGGACGTGAAACAGGGCGACCCAGGGCCCCGGTCATGTTGCCTTCCACCCGTCGCTCGCTACCCAGGTAAGCACTGCTTTAGCGGAGCTGACCAGGCTCGCTGGGCATCAGCCAGCGCATGTCCACATGCAGGGAACGGCATTGGCTGGCGCGCGGGCCATACATCGGCCCAATGAGAAGTTCCTTGAATTTCATGATGGCGCTCGCCGCGCGAAGGCGGCGGACGTAAATCAAGGGCGGCGGAAGCTGGGGGAAGCAACGTTGCGCCTTGATGTTGCAAGACCTTGCAAATGCACACGCAGTACGGTTGTCGGAAACTGACGCGCGGCAACGCTGGCTTGACTGAGAACCTTGAGCCCGAGATCGGATAAACGATGCCTAGCTGCTCGTCCTTCCTGGAGTCACTCGCTCCACGCGTGCGTCGAAGCTGCACCGAACGTCCGTCGATCCGAGTCGGCCCATGTTCGAACCCGCATCAAACCATCGAACCTGCATAGGACCCGAGTCGAACTCGCGTCGAGCTGTGGTCGAGCAGATCCGTTGGGTGGGCCCCAGGATCGGGAGCGGCCAAGACGGGGGTGTCCAAGAGGGGTGGGTGCAAATCATGACCGGCGGCATGTGCGCGGCCCAGCGGGGGGTCCAAGGACGTAATAAAATAAGAAGAGGCGCCATGAGATCTGGGGAGATATCATGGCCCCGCCATGATATCCACTCCCCCCTAGTCATCACTCCCCTCTTTGCCGCCCCCGACAGGACACAGCATGCAACGCCACCGGGAGCCCGAGCTGGGCCTCTGCAGCCTCGCGCTCGGCCCCCAAAGCATCCCCCCCGCCCGCGGGCGTCGGCTCAGGGGCGGCGGGGGGCGCGCCCGCTCCAGCTCGGCCCGCTCCTGCTGCAGCGACTCCAGAAGCTCCTCGGCGGCGGGGCGGAATTGGGGGGCGGGCAGGCTATGTTGCAACCTCGGGGGACCTTGTCTGTCCCGTCGCGGCCCTATCCGCGTCGAATGCGTGTCGAATCCGTGTCGGACTCGTCGGATCCGTGTCGAAACCGTGTCGAATCCGCGTCGGATTCACGCCAAATCCGCGCCGAGTCCGCATCGAGCCCGCGTCGGGTACAAAAAAACACCAATTTGGGGGACAGGCGAGCCCCCCCGAAGATGCAACGTAAGGCAGGAGATCGCCCACAGAGCTGATGTTCATCTCGGCGTGGGCTTTCCCCTCCGGGTCCGCGAGGAGCTCGTGGAGTCGACGGGAGGGATCCGTCGTGGGGCACATCCATGCCGTAGTCGATCCCCCGCCCGAAGGGGGAGGAGGAAGAGAGGCGGGAGGGTTCAGGACTCGGGCGCCACAGAGAGCGAAGTGCTCACACCTCAGGACACAGCGCGGGCTCTGCCTGCAAAATTCGCACCGCACACGACATCCTGTCATGGTTGCCGTCATGGTTGCCACGCGTGCTCCTGCGCTGCTGCAGCTGAGCTCGATTCGCGGCACAGGCGGGAGGAGAGGGGGAGGAGGGTGATGCTGTCGTGCCCCCCGCCCACGCGAGCGCCGAAAAGAAACGGGGCGGCGTACGTGGGCCACCAGCGCGTCACGCCACACTGGAAACGAGGGCGCTGACGCGCGACCCCAAGCGGGCAACTTGTGCGCCGATGTCGGTGAAGACGACTCCGTTCTCGAACGTCGCTCACGTGACGTCCGTTGAAAAAGGGGACGCGGGCATGGCATAGTAGACGTAGTGGTGGCAGCAGCAAAGCTAGCAGCGGCAGCGGTACTAGCTGCGGCCACGAAGACGAGGAGGACGACGACGACTGATGGGAGTAACGACAGCGACATCGACAACGGCGACGACGACGACTGGCAGCGACGACAACAACGACAGCGACCACTTTGCAAACATATGGCCTAACAAACTGATTTGACTTCAATTGTTTATCCCTCTCCCTTGCCCCCCCCCGCTAAGTCTATGAACAAGCCCCACGGGCTTCTTTTCGAACCGCGCCGCCATGGCCGTCTTGCGAGCCATCCGGGCGATCCCCAGTTTGAGCGAATTGAGAAGAAGTCTCGGGAGAGAGCACCGTTCCTGAGTTTTGGGGTGAACAAGGCGTCTCAGAGAAAACTGTGAGGTGTCGAGCGGGAGCCGGTGTCGTCGTAGCTGGGCGTTCACCCCCTTGACTGACCAGCGACGAAGTATCGGGCGAGAGCGCCATGCATGAGCGTTCGAATGTGTGACCAGAACGCACGCGAGTAAAGTACTAGGTCGTATCGGACGGGAGCCGTTGTCGACGAAGTTGGATCTTGGACAAATTGCGAGGAAGTCTCAGGAGAGATAGCAGCTTCTGGAGTAAGGGGGTTTCTCAGACCAATGCGCCTCGGAAAAGATTGCAGAGAAGTGTCGAACGGGAGCCACTGTCGCCGTAGTTGAGCCTTCAGTAACTTGCTTGAACTGCGAGGAAGTCTCGCTTAAGAACGCAGCGGGCGCATCTGACAGGGAAAGTATCGAAGGGCAGCCGTTGTCGTCGCATCTGGACCCTCACCAACCCAAGTGGATTGCGAGGAAGTCTCAGGCGGCTCCTGCACGAAACCCTCAGCTGCATTGAGACACGACCGTCATGCTGTTTGTGGTTGTCTATCTCAGACCCTCCTCGAAACCTATATGACATCCCTTTTCTAAATATCGAATCGTCAGGCTACAACCGCCTCGCGAAGACCCCCCAGGCCTCCCTGCGAGGTTGCGTCAGACGTTTCTCTAGTGCCTCGTGCTCGGCGCGTCAGCCACACGAGAATTCGAGCAGTGTCACGCCGCGGCTTGGGGGCAAGAGGGCGTTGAAACTGAAGATGGGAAAGGAATGCTGGGCTATTCTCCCAGAAATTCCTAAATCGGGCCGGGCCGCGACTGGCTGTCATGGAGCGCCCTCATGCCCACCTACTTCTGAAAGTTGATCGTGTCAGCAGCATCAGCGCTGCTCGGTCAGAGCGGTGGAGGGGGAATCGAGCGGGACATGCTGATGCCGCCAAGAAGGTACGGATGTCTCCCAATACGCACCGATCCAACTGACGACATGAACGAAAGCCGCGCGGCCGTTCCTGCTGCGTCCTCTTTAAGCAGTCCCGCTCCTCCTCCAAGGTGGCGACCATGCCTGCGACACTTGGCCCCCCATGGATGGTTCGCCACCCCCTCTGCAGTCCAGCCCCCGCCTCCCCATCCCATCCCCCACGCGTATCCTCCCATGTCTTCCCTTCCCCTCCATCTCCCAACCCACCTACCCCTCTACCTTCACATCATTCGATTACAACTGCTATACAAACGCGACTACGACTGCCAGAAACGACTGCAAATACCACGACGACTATTACTACTACTCCTACTACTACGACTGCTGCTACTACTACTACTACTACTACTACTACTACTACTACGACTACTACTACTACGACTAATACTGCGACTACGACAACGACGAAAACTACTACTACTACTACTGCTACTACTACTACGACTACTACGACTACTACGACTACTACGACTACTACGACTACTACTACTACGACGACTACGACGACTACGACGACTACTACTACTACTACTACTACTACGACTACGACTACAAGTACGACG